ATATATATGTATATATACATACACACACATATATTCACATATATATATATATATATATATATATATATATATATATATATATATATATGCACATATATGATTTTTAAGGAAGTTTTATATATGTAAGTAATGATTTTAATCCAGCACTTTCATTTCACAAGTAAACCTCAAAATCACACAGTGGCTGAACTGGCACTAGAATCCAGGGCTTCTCATTCCCATCCTGGGACTTATTCATACATATGTTTGTTTTACAATTTATGACTAGTTCAATATAAATTCTTACTTAACTCCAACATCAACAGCAGGGCAGTGATGACGGTGTTACAGAGGAGGAAGATAAGGCTCACAAAGTTTAAGTAACTCATTCAAGCATAGTGGCTATGCTAGGAATGGTACCCAGGTCTTCCTACTGAAGGCTGTTTCCATTTGTGACTGCCTTTTAAAATGATAACCTCGTTTCATTTCAGGAATGTCGGATTGCACACCCTGTTGTGAAGTGCACCTACTGCAGGACTGAGTACCAGCAGGAGAGGTAGAGTTTTTGTTGACCACAAAAGATGTTAATAGGCTTTTTCCTCTTAAAATCTGTAATTGATTGCATTCCATATACAGATCTGTAATCAATTGCATTGCAACATACAGATCTGTAATCAGTTTTATTTTACACAGATTCTGCAATTTCCTATTATAATACATTGAAGGGTGTATAATACACATATTGACTCCTAGTCATTATCCATTGATTGCTTAAAATTTTTAAGTTACTTATTTTTCAAACCCTTTGGTCATTTTCTATTGTGGTTAGGATTATTCTGACACTAAGAAATCAATCCAACAACAGTAAAACATAAGCCTCATGTTTCAGTATGTACATATACAGAGCTTGAAGAATTTAAAAGCCCAAAGAAGATACTTTTGGAAATGTGACAATCCTGATAAAGGGTTTGTTAGCTCTAGTCGCATTTGAAACTTGCTTGCCTTTACACTTTCCTTGTATGTACCTCATTTTAAAAGTGTGAAAAACACTTGGATGTGAGTGAACACACATCTTTGGGGGACTTTTCAACAGAGGTAAAGAGATTTATTGGTATAGCAAGTTCGACTTTTGTGGAAGTTTTGTAATTATAGATGATCCTGTCTTGAGCAGGATGGGGTCTATTTGCTAGCTCATTCATAGATCTAGAATCCTAATTTTTTTTTTTTTCTAAAAGATGACCGGTAAGGGGATCTTAACCCTTGACTTGGTGTTGTCAGCAACACGCTCAGCCAGCGAGCTAACCGGCCATCCCTATATGGGATCCGAACCTGGGGCCTTGGTGTTATCAGCACTCCACTCTCCCGAGTGAGCCACGGGCTGGCCCCAGAATCCTAATTTTAATCAGCCTCATTTTAATTCTAGGAAGATTTTCCCCGACATTTTATTATGGATATTTTCAAACAAAAAAAGGTTGAATTAGTGAAAACCCACATACCCATTACTTAAATTCTACAATGTACATTTTACTATATTTGCATCTTTCCATCTATGCATCTCCTTATCCATCAATGACTCAATCCGTCTTATTTCTGATGCATTTTAAAGTTGCTGATATAAGTATACTTAATCCCTAAATACTTTAGCATGCATATTAACTAGAGTTAAATATTTGTTTCCACTTCTTTTTTTTTAGAGGCAAAATTTACATATAGTAAAATGCTCAGATCTTAAGTATATCAGTTAATGAGTTTTTCAAACAGTATACATCTGGGTAACCCCAAATCCTACCAAAATACAGAATGTTACCATCACTCTGGAGAATCTTCTCATGCCCCGTTCCAGTCAATCCCCACACCCCTTGCTTCCCTCAGGTAACCTTTGTTCTTATTTTCATTTCCACTGTAGCATGTTTTAGCTTTTACATTTAGGTCTGTGATCCATTTTGAATTAATTTGTGTGTGTGGGGAGGTGAGATATAAACTTTGACCTTTAATTTACACTACACACACTAATTCAAGATGAATAACAGAAATAATTTTTCTTTGCATGCTTTCTAAGATATCAGGAGCATTTGTATATATTGACATATACCCCATTCCTCTAGTAATAAATCAAGGTATAAATCGAAACTGTTCGACATCACAGAATCACTGATGCTAATCCTCTTTCAAGAGGTCTTGTTCAATGTACTTCACTTTTTGTACTTCCCTTTTAAAGTGGCAGAAAATTGCCCTGGAAAATATTTTGTTTCAATATCCTATTTTAGTTTAAATGTTTTCTACTCAGGTTTTTCTTTTGTCTATTTTAACTTTATGGTCACTTTCATAGGAATTGTATAGGGAAATAAGCACAAAATAGAGAATAGACTAGATTTTTATGTGATTTTATTTATTTATTTATTTATTTTTAATAGATGACCGGTAAGGGGATCTTAACCCTTGACATGGTGTCAGCACCATGCTCTCCCAAGTTAGCTAACCGGCCATCCCTATATAGGGATTCGAACCCGTGGCCTTGGTGTTATCAGCACCACACTCTCCCAAGTGAGCCACAGGCCGGCGCCTATGTGATTTTATTTTTAGCCTTAGAGTATTGTTGAAACTGTTCTTGGCACATCAAACATTTGTTTGTATTTACCAATGAGAAGGGTTAGATTTTATGTGAAGAAGATTTTTTCCCCCAGGCAGCTTTATTAGTTCAGGCATTTAGATAATGTTATGATCTCTGTATCTTTTTTTTTTTTTTTTTTGTCTTTTTGTCTTTTTCCGTGTCCGGCAACGGATCGCAACCCTCAGTGTTG